TTCTTTTTATCTTCTAAAATAATTGATAAAATGAAGGATATTATTTTTTGTCTCTTAAAAACTACACATTTTCTGATGGATTTGTGGTCTGTCTAGGGAAATGATACTTTTTTCAGAGTTAGGAGAATTATTGAATCTTAAGTGGTTTTTCCCTTGTGTGTTCGTATAGACTTCCAGTTATCATGATTGTAACTGACCCAGAACTGTTAAAAGAATCTATGATTTCATTATTATACTCATGCATTGGGAAGAGGATGAAGCATTTTTTATTTAAATCTTTTCTACAATTATATACAAGCAAGTGTTAACTTTGTGGGATTTGGAACTTAAGCTAGTGCTGTATGACATTCCTTTTCTTCCTTGGTCTTCTTTTTGCTACATTTTTCTGAATGCCTGTCTTTGGAATGTAGTTCTCCAAGTTGCAGAGTAAAGTGGAGACAGCTGAGTCACGAGTTTCTGTCCTGGAGTCCATGATTGACGACCTGCAATGGGATATTGACAAAATTCGAAAGAGAGAACAGCGACTCAACCGACACTTAGCAGAAGTCCTAGAAAGGGTCAGTGTTTTATTATAGCTTGTAGACTATAGTCATTTTAAGGAGTCTTAGAAAGGATCAACTTGGGTAGTGGTGCTTGGGGAGAAAACTAATTCTTTAAAAGTACATTGGTTCTAGACTAAAATCTTAGGGTCTCTCTCTAAAGAATCTTTATCTTCTCTGTAGGTGAATTCAAAAGGTTATAAGGTATATGGAGCAGGGAGCAGTCTCTATGGTGGCACAATCACTATCAATGCCCGGAAGGTAAAATCAGTGGCGTACTCAAGACCCATTTTAAAAATTATGTTTTATTTTTATTTTTTTAATTTATTTTTTAATCTCAAGACCCATTTTTTGACCTGGTATTAGGCTTTGTGCCTAGGTACTTTGGATTGGGTTCATAAGCGGCAAAGTGGAATTTTGCTAGGAGAATGGAACAGTGAATATGGGAGGCTTAGAAATAGGAATAATTTGGGCCGGCCCCGTGGCTCACTTGGGAGAGTGTGGCACTGGGAGCACCGAGGCCACGGGTTCGGATCCTATATAGGGATGGCCGGTGCGCTCACTGGCTGAGCGCGGTGCGGACGACACCAAGCCAAGGGTTATGATCCCCTTACCGGTCACAAAAAAAAAAAAAGAAAAAAAGAAATAGGAATAATTTAAGAATTCCTTTTTTCCCCTCTTGTTAATTTTCTGCTTTTCTCCAGTTTGAGGAAATGAATGCAGAGCTTGAGGAGAATAAAGAGTTGGCGCAGAACCGTCTCTGTGAGCTGGAGAAACTCCGGCAAGACTTTGAGGAGGTCACTACACAAAATGAAAAACTGAAGGTAGGAGATACATCTCTGAAGGGCAGTAAAATCACTTTTTGCTGATCAACTTAGGTACGTACTTGTGAACCTGCGTAATTTGTGAGAGAAAAGAAAAATGTAGATGAAAGTCAACATCCTTTTATGATAAAAACTCTTAACAAATTGGTTGTACAAGAAATGTCCCTCAACATAACTAAGACCATATATGACCAGCCCACAGCTAACATCATACTCAGTGGTGAAAAGTTGAAAGCTTTTCTTCTAAAATCAGAAACAAGATGAGGATGCCCATTCTTGCCACTTCTAGTCATCACAGAACTGGAAGTTCTTGCCAGGGCAATTAGGCAAGAAAAAAATAAAAGGCATCTGTGTCAGAAAGGAAGAAGTAAAGTTGTCTGTTTGCAGATGACATGATCTTATATATAGAAAGCCCTGAAGACTCTACCAAAAAACTGTTAGAACTATAAATGAGCTCAATAAAGTTGTAGGATACAGTGTGTTTCTATATACTAACAGCAAACTATACAAAAGAGAAATTTAGAAAACAAACCTATTTATAATAGCATAAAAAAAATACTTAGGGGCCGTCCCGGTGGCGCACTGCTACAGTG